GTCTCAAGTTGCTGCTGTATGGGTCGAAGATGATGAAATTGCAAATGTTCGTACTCGAGACATTACTATCTACAGTCATTCTGGTGATTCACACAAGGTTCATTACTACTATGGTTGTTATGATCCTTTACAATATCCATTGCTTTTTCCATATGGAGAATCTGGCTGGCATGAAGGTATTAAGAGATGCAATAACAAATATTTTCCGTCTCAGCATATGTCTGACTTAGATGGTTTTCCTAGTACAGCTACTTCCGCGTCTGAAATTATTGAAAATGAGGATAAAGGTTTATGTATATATTTTCTTTACAGTTTCTACTTTCCACAATATAAATTAATAAATGAATATATAATTTTGACTCTTTTTGTCATGCAATTCTTAACGGAACGAAGAAACGGTCTCAAGTCTCTTGTCGATAATACTATTCGCACAAGTTTCAGATTAGGCCTTCTAGTAAGTCTTTATTGCTTCATACTGGTATATTTTTTCAACAATTTGTAGTAGATATGTATGTTAAGATCGAAACTGCTAGGTTATACTATTTTCGTAATAACCAAAAATAAATTCGTGCTGAACTATATCAAGGTATTGTAGATAGTATTGAAAATGGAGAAATGAAAGGGAACAAAATTGGAAGAAAATTTGTACTACCACAATCCTTTACATGTGGGCTTAGAGACATGCTAAGAAGATACATAGATGCAATGTCTATTGTGCAGCGTTATAGAAAATCCGACATTTTTTTGACTATAACATGTAATCCAAATTGGCTAGAGATTAAGCAAGAACTAAAGCATAATGATGAAGTTCAAAATCGACCAGATCTAATCATGCGAATATTTCGAGCAAAATTGGAAGAGTTAAAAAATGATTTATTCAAGAAAAACATCTTAGGTCCTTTTGTTGCACATGTATATATGATTGAATTTCAAAAACAAGGACTTCCCCATGCACATCTATTGTTGATTTTCAAATCTGGCCAAAAAATTTGTTGTGTTGAACAAGTCGATACGATAGTATGTTGTGAAATTCCAGACAAAAATAAATACTCCCATCTTCATTCTATTATTGTTAAACATAATATGCATGGTCCTTGTGAAAACCTTAATCCTAAAAATGTATGTATGCAGGCAAATAAAGGTTGCAAAAATAAATACCCTAAGGATTATTGTAACATGACTACATTTGGTGATAACTCGCCTCTGTTGTATAAGCGTAGCAATAATGGCATCTTTGTTAAAGTTAGAGGCCAAATGTTAGATAATCGTTGGGTTGTACCATATAATCCTTATTTAAGTGCGAAATTTGACTGTCACATTAATGTTGAAGTATGCTCTTCTATTAAAGTTGTAAAATATTTGTACAAATACGTATACAAAGGACATGATCGTATCAATTTCATTATTGGTACAAATGAAAAGGAGAAAGAAATTTATGAAATTTATGCTTACCAATCTGCTAGATGGATATCTCCACCTGAAGCTATGTGGAGAATTTTTTTCTTTCAATTTGTCAGAAATTTGTCCTAGTTTATTCTTTACAGCTTCATATTCAAAATCACCAACAACTGACATACACCAGTTATGATAATTTATCTACTGTCATTGAGAATGAAAATGCAAAAAGAACAATGCTGACAGAATTCTTTCGAATGAATCAAAGAAATGAATTTGCTCGATCGCTATTGTATTGAGATTTTCCTTCATATTTTGTTTGGAATACTAATACGAAAATTTGGACTCCAAGAAAGAAGCAAATTGTTATAAGATGAATTGTGACAGCAAATCCTTTTGAAGAAGAACGTTATTTCCTTCGCATTCTTCTCAATCATATTCGGGGCCCAACATCATTTCTTGATTTACGAACTTCAAATGGAGTAACTGTTACAACTTATAGAGAGGCTGCACTTTTACATGGTTTATTACATGGAGATAATCATTGTGAAGAATGTTTATCTGAAGCTATTATTTACGAAATGCCAGCGTCTTTAAGACAACTATTTGCTACATTACTTACGCTTTGCAACCCTAAACATCCAAAATTACTGTGGGATAAATTTAATGCTTATATGATAGATGATTATACACATGCAAATATACCTATAGAAATTGCTAAAGTACATGCTCTACAGGATATTGGCGATTTTCTGGAATCATTTGGTAAAAACATAAATGATTATGGAATAGTTCCATTTAGTGTAAATATAGATGAGGATAAAAGGTTGAGAAGAATGGTTATCGAGGAGACGACCAATTTGGATATGAGAGAAGGTTATGCTTATGCATCAAGTTTAAATAAAGAATAACAATTAGCATATGATGCAATTATGGAAAAAGTTA